CAAGATAACCTCTCAACAAATGGAGGATGAATAGCCTGGATTGGGACGATAAGTTAGTTTTTGTGTAAGATCGTGAAAAGGCAGTGACAAATGCATATGTAAAGTGGTAGACGCGGACGAACGATTCATCTCATTTCTTTGGTAAAGTGATGAAAATTCCGTATTCAAAATAAAAACATACTTTACTCATACTCTGTCTTCAGAATATATTTTGGTCAGCTAACGGATTTTAATTCCCAAATGAACTAAAAGAGATTCCTGCACGGAATGAAACAGCCCTATGAGTAGTTTTAAGGTTATAAAAAAAAATATATCTACTCAACTGTCTTTTGCGTTCTCTTAAGTGTATGATAATTGCTAACCTAACACAGTAATATAAATAGGGTATTTATATGATTTCATCGCAGTCCTATAGTTAAGCTCACCGTGTAACGTATATTTTATAAGAATTCAAAATTACAAAAATTTGAATAGTAAGCTCCACGTTTTGTTGGAATTCAGATATTTTCTATGGTTAATTGAAGGTTTTTTTTTCTATTTTGCCAAAAATGGCCGGCTTTGCTCGGTTAAAACAATGCAGCCGTGTGGTTCAGTATTTTAAATATAACTTTTTTATTTTGGTTGCTTCCTTCAGGTTAGTATTGTCATCTGAAACAGTTTGTTAGTCACATGGTTAATTGTCAATAATTTTGTTTTTAACTATTGATACGACGTCAAGGACTAAGAGGTTGGATGGAAAAGTCGGAAAATCTTCGGGTTGAGGTTTAAACGACACGAAGAGGTTTAAACGTGTGATTTTATATTCTTTGATAATTTGTAGACCGAGCATCTTGAAACATGACACAATTTATAAAGTAGGTTTTAGAAATATTCTGGGAGAATTCCAGCTCCCTTATAGAAACAAAATGGTCGAAAATTGAAAATGTTACCAATTTGCATAATATATCACAGTTATATTTGAGTTTATCTGATTTGTTTACTACGTTTCAGTTCTGACTCTCATTGTTGAAGAACAGCTGTTTGACTGAAGAATATCGCTTGAGACATCAAAACATACCAATGTTACTGAAACTGGAGTTGAGAAATGGCTTTTAACGTTAAACAAAAACAAAAATATTTAATGTTTTTTGTATAATTTGTCAGTATTCCACCACTTTGTACCTACAAGGGTTAAGAAACTGTAATTTCCCAGAATATTCGTAAAACCTTTATTATAAATTGTGTCCAAGTTTGAAAATTGTAGGTGCATAAATGGGCAAGTAATATAAAATCAAACGTTTAAACATCTTCGTGGGACACCCTGTATATATAACCACTGACTTTTGCATACTATATTATACAAGCAGAGTACCCGTCCTTCGTACGGGGTTGTCATATAAGTACAGTATAAAATGCTTATTGCAGTTATACTCGAGCCTTGCATTTGCAATGAGGTGGGATTTGCTTCTTTAAATTTATAGTATGCTATAGTATTACACACCTACCATAGATAGCCATAACTTCACCTAAACAGTGGATAAAAATAAATTATCAAAAATTCACCAAAAATTACAAATTATTCATGAAATTAAAAACAGAAATATAACTCTGTAAACAATCCTACTTTGACAGTTAGTTCTCATTGTGTATCACAGTTTTTTGTTGCTGCTTAGTTCAAATTAGCTGTTTTCATAAATGCAAAAAAATATAGTGCTGCACCCTGTTGGTAAATTTTATAACTTTTTAATGCTTTTGCATATTATAGAACCAACTTTTTTAGTTGAAACAGCTGACTAAATTATTTAGTTCCCTTTAAATATGAATACTCATAAGGTTAACATGGGGAACTACAGAGCCACTGGGGCGGAGCCCGAAAGGGTTTTTGAGATAAGAATATGCCTATATGTTAATCGGGAATGTGAGCTATCATCATGCCAAATTTCAGCCCAATCCGTCCAGTAGTTAATGCGTGATTGAACTTCAAACAAACAAACAAACACACAAACTTTCACATTTATAATATTAGTAAGATATCTTATATACATAAACCAGCTGTATATTTTTGTGCTAAGAACAAACACGTAGGGAAATAAAAAGAGTGTGCTCCGGTTTAAAATTATTCTTTTCATTGGTTTTGGTTAGTGAGATATTTTACGTGGCACATAAAATACAATAGCTTAGAATAAGTCGTGGTATCAGTTCGGTTTGATTTAAAAGTTAGCTTATATGACGGAAATCAGAAATTTATATCAACGCAGTCTGTTGGTGGCTCAACTACGTCCATTTCTATTGAAAAACTGGTGACAACTATAACATCGGTATAGTTCATTATCAATATCCAATCATTCATAGCTTTAATATGTTTATCAAACATCTTATACAACTGGGAATTTCATTTCAACCCAGATTAATGAGCCTAAATGGTAGTAAGTGCTGAGACGAGGCAGGCTGAGGCTGTCAGTCATGTCAGAATGACGTCATCTCAGCTGATTAGATGAGATGAGCCTGTCAGCTGACATCAGCTGATCAGCTGATTAAACCTAGTCGTAATCCAATCATGAGGGAGGAAATGTGGCAGGTAGAAACACCTTTCTTTGGAGTAACGGTGTTGGTAGCTCCTACATTGCATTTTTAAATTAAGGATAGAAGGTCAACAATGTTTAAAAAAATAGTAGATCACTTGAATTAAAGCGTATGTTCTACGCAAAAAAAATTAAATTGGTTTAATGAAAAATAATTTAAAAACTAATACAATATTGCAGTTTAACGCCAGTATAAATAATTTAAAAGTACAACATGGTTGGTCTACTTTGAAAGAATAGAAAGGATTTTTCAAGTGTATAATGGAATAGAATTACATTACGTAAATGTTATCAACTCAAATTTATTTTACGCATTACGTTATTTTTCACGTTGTTTAGTAAATAATTCTAACTAGTAAACACGTTGCTCGAAATCGAGCAATTGCAAAGAAGTAAAGTAGTTATCTAACAACAAATTAAAGTCATCATAATTTCGGATGAGTTTAAAAGACTCAACTCATACGTACCTAACAGTTCAATATAATTAACATTTCTTGTAAATATTTTATCATTTTTCAAAAGCTGATCTGGTTTTTTAAATGTTTCCCACTTATAGCCGTATTTGCATCGATTGACATTCATTTGGCTAGTTACTGTTATATCGTAAATTATATTTACCTGAAAAAATGCAGAATTGAAAGGCCTAATGTCGTTCAGATGGTTTTTTGTTTCCCTTAAATGGGAATAATGCGAATCCTTCAATGAAAGTTTCATTAAGGTTTCTAGGATGCAGTCGCATTCTTTTCAAATCATTTGACTTTTATGAAAACATATATTTAATGATTAATGTCCTTGCCGTACCAGTTTAATTCAGACTTAAAGGGGTTTCCTTTGACAATCATCATAAAGTTAAGTCCGTTTTTCCTACAAAATAGTAGCACTTCGGCTAACATCCTTGTTCATTGTTTGTGGGAATCTTCGTGTTGTAGCTGTAGGTGTTCTTCATTATATAGGTTTATAACGATAGTAATTTTTTTTTAATCTCTATTTCTTCTACTTGGTGGCGTTCTATGACTTTGCTATGTTTCCACGGTTAACAAATCGGTTATTTCAATGATTTCTCAAGAAATACAGTACTATGTCAATTCATTTTTCTTATTTGGTAAAATATATCAAATTGTCCAGGCTTTCTTGATTTTTTACATTGTAATATGTACGAATGTAAATTACAATAGAAAAAGTTAAATTTAAACAAAATCATTACCTAATGCGCTTTATTGAATTGAAAAATAAATATCAGCAATTAAATTATACAGCTGATCAAAATGTAAACAATTATGTTCTTCATAGGGATAACATGGAAACTTTAACAGCCACTGGGGCAGAGCCCAAGGGACTTTTCAAAAATGTAAGGTCAGTTTGCAAATCTACGCGACACGCTCTTTCCAATGAGACGTCAATGGATAAAATCGGTTAGGAAATGGCGGAGGAGTTAAACCAACAAAGTTTCATGTAGCGTATTAATTATATAGATTTACAGTAAAATTCCATTATTGAGACGCACTCATTCTAGTTGGTATATGTATCGGTATAGTTATCGGATTTTGAATTAACAAAAATACATTAGTGTCCTCATCGTAGAAGCAACCCCAAGTAATTATTGAGCTCAATGTGTCATAAATTAGTTGCAGATCTATATATTTCTAAAAGGAAATGGCAGTGTTACAGTGAAATAAAGATCAGACATAATTCTATATCAATAGGCAAGCATGTTTCATGAAAACCTTTTTTTCTCAGCTCGTGTGCATCACAGGGAAAATCTACACATATTGTTAGAAAGATATTTTCCTGTATACCTTTATAAATTAAAGTAGGCAAAACAATAAGAACTTAAAATGAATTTATAAATTAACATGGGCCTAATACGATGCTATGCTGGTGACGAATTAACAACGAAATATAACAGAAACCAAAACAAATAGAAACAAATTTAATCACGTGTTTTACTTACAGCGTGGGGTGAAAATAGAGACGACTCTTGTACATTATATATTTTTAGTCGAGTTTTTCAACCATTAGACTGTCTCTAGTATAACATTTATACTAGAGGCCGTCTAGTCGTCTTAGTTAAGGCATGGTTAAGGTTTGTATTTAATATAAACCTCACAGCTACGAGTTTGGATATTCTCTTGGAAGAACAAAATTGACAAATTACTGATAACATGTGTTTGCTTGGCTTTGTTTTACACAATTGATTTGTTAAATAATTATCTTATTCGATAATGAACTGTTTTTAACATTTGTTGATTTAATTTAAATAATAAGAATGTCTTGTAATGGTACCATTGGGTTTGCTTCCCAAAACAACTACTGGAAAAACATGTCAATCACACAATATGATAAAAACAAACAATTCAAGGAGTAATTCATCAGCTGAGGTTGTGTACTTTCTGAGGTTGTTTACAAACAGTGTCAAGTTCATAGGTTAAGTCTCGGTTGGTCAAGATGGAAGATGGTCAAGACTCAGGATCAGACCAGACGTCTGACTCTAACATTGTAGACAAGGGTTGGAGCATAATCTCTCACAACACAGAGCTGCTTTTCTTCACAACGCTGGGGATTGTAAGTTATACAAAACACTAGTATTGTTTGTAAGTGAGCATTTTCATACTGTGCAGTGTTACGATTTAATGAAATATTTTCTGTAAGGGTTCTCACCTACTTCTAGTTCAGATTTTCTATGATATTCGTTCTTAAATATTTCTTAACTTCGTCCCAGGAATGTGGTGTCAACAAATGCAAGTGTAACTGAGTGTTTTGAAATTTAACAGTTTAATAAGTGCAAGGGGCCATTTGGTTCTTAGGTACTATACGCTTTTTGAAGAGGTTAGCAGCCTCTTTTAACCTTGAACGTCCATATTTTTTTTTTCAATGCAATGGGCCATTACAAGTAGATGAGTGTTTATAAATGCATCATATCGTAATAATACTATTTATGCAACAGTTCTTTTAACATCTATAGAATGTTAATGTGGTTTTTTTATGTAGCACTAGTCGCTAGTGAATAGGGCAAAGTACAGCACCACCCTCGCCCTCATATACTACAGCTGGATTTACAGTCAACGCTTTACTCCTTTTATCAATGCTACAACGCTCACGGTGGAAGAAGTCTATACCCTGTGCGATAGGAATTTCCGCAAAGTGCTCACCGCTACAACTTTTTCTTTCTCATCACAAGTGTATTTTTGGCACAACATAGTAGAATTGATAGCGCACGGTCGAAACATAAGCAAGTTTTCTCTTTTCCTTACTTCTCTATGGCTAGAGACACAAGTAAAATAAAATCGATTCCTTATATCAATGGAACGGCAGAAACTTGTTTGAAAACTGTCAAATTACAGACTGATATTTAATATCGAAAACTCAAACAGGTTGAAATACTTGCTGAAGCTGCAGGCTACCGTCCATTCATACGTCTCAACAATCTTCTTCCACCCGTCCCTGACTATGGTGAAGGAGGATCTAACGCGACTTTGGCAAACACATCCGACCAGGGAGACCTCACCGACCTCGCGTTGATTTACCAAAGTAAGTTTAAAATGAAATTTAGAAAAATTAAATCAAAATTATTAAAATATTTGTAAACATTTGTTAAGCTAAAATAGTCAACTTTCAATAATAAAACGTGCCTTGTAATTCTTACTTGGTCAAATGACCCTGACTAATGAAACTATTGGTTTTGGTCAGTTTTTACTTTATTCTTACCCATTCTACTCCATTCTACTCAGCCTTCACTCATATTTGGGTAAAGATATGCACATAGGTCCCCATCTCACGTCTCCATCTCATTGATATTGATAATAATGTATCTTGTAACCTTTACGTTCATTTTGGTATATGCAACAGATTTATCACCATTACCTCGAATGTTCTAGTATCAAGAGTGGTGGACGTCGTCGGAGCCTACACTGTGCATTTGTCACTAGCCACTCACATACTCCTTCCTTACCCTGTAATTACGGTAAATATGCATTTCAGTTTATGAAATAGTTCTTTTTTGCCTATGAAGTATAGTTTAGCTGTGAAAAAGAAGTATTTAAGTCATCAGGTGAATTTCACTTTGTCATAACTCATTATTTACTTTTTTTCTCTTAGAACTGCACTCCCAAGTGATTTGACTTTGTAATCACTCAAGTAATCTTTACTTTATTACTCTACTGCGTATCTATGTATGTTGTAAAATACAAATCTGTTTAATTGACGTGATATGAGTTGCAGGAGCGCCAGAACATATTGTTGGTGCCATGGCTAGTGGTGACTCTGCTAAGATCGGTAGTGCGAGAATTGGTCATTTCTCTGGTAGGCATAGTGCTGTGTGCGTCCCACAATGTCTTCTACTACCCATGTGTTCAGTATTCAGCTCTTCAAGGCGCTCAGTTCTGTAAGTATATCTTCCAAATTAAAATGCATACTGGCTCCAATCAAACTAAAAAAATAACAAAATCCAATATTTTGTACTTTAGGAACACTCTATGTATGTTAAGATCACCCTGAAAACGCTGAAGTAAGTATTTCCACTACCACAGAACAATGAAATCGTGTGTACACTAAAATTCTGCATTGATAGTACATTCTCCATTACCACTCTAAAGAATGACATGAAAAAGGCTGAAACGTCAACGGACCGTGATTATGGTGTACAAGGGAGTGTCACCCTGATCCTGAATACTATGTGTCCGGGACCATAGCCTCGCGATATGAGGCTATGGTCCGCTTTATTGTTATGTATGCTGAAATACTGTTCATTAATTTAATTCAATCAGATGTTTTCATAAAAACAATGTTTGTTTTACTTGTTACTTTTGTAACGTTACATTTATCTTCACTCACAACTTATCATGTACTTTGTTCTCAAGATATTCATGACCATCAATCTTTATACTGTGTTAAAAGTTTTAGTATAGAGTGAAGTCTCCAAAAACAATAACTTTATAGGCCTACTATAGTACTATTATTAGAAACCTACCTTCTACCTTCTAATTTTTACTAAGATAATTTCTATTTGAATACATGTATCTGCCTTTCGGTCTGTTATCATTCACAAAACCATTAAGGAGTGGTTATGAACCAATTTCATAATTCATTCACAGGTTTCACCTTCTACTTCTGGTCAAGTATGCACAACTTTTACCACTTCCTCCAGAACAAGCACTCCACTGAAGGTAGAGTCGCCAGTGTCATCCACTCCATCAACACCAACCTCCTCAACAGTGAGCCTCTGAGTCAGCGGTCTCTAGACCGTGTGTTATCCGTGACATTGGACGAGGACGAGGAAAACACAGAGGCGATGTTGGTAGAACGAGCAGCCATGGCGTGGATTACGCGGGAAATCCTAGAAAATGACCGGGAATACGTGACAGATAGACAGTTCAGTGAGTACCTCGTGGTTAAAGCTACCATAGAATTGAAACAAGCGTTGAAAGAGTTGGCGGAGAAGAAATTGACGAAGAAGAAAAAGCTCAATACTAAACAGAAACTTAAGGCGAGTTTACAGATCATGGGGCTGTCCAGTAAGGAATCTTTGGGAGACTCGATGACAGAGGCTTTTGAGAGCAGTCGAACTCTGTCGAAGAGGGACCCCATCAGGAATATAAGACCTTTATTTTCTCGTGGGAAGCCTGTGTCGCCGGATGCATCCGTGATATCTGGATTGTCTGACATCACTGTTGCCTCTGGAACTTCGGTTGACTCTGAGGCGCAGACGGAACCTCCTACGAGAGAGATGAGTAAACTTCTGGATATGCTTGAGAACCAGTGAGAGAGAGAGCGGGAGAACAATAAGGGTACCGGTACCTACAGTTTGAAATTCAACAACAAAATTGTTTTCGTCTTAAAACGTATTGTCGATACTTCTACAATAAATGTAGGAGGAAGAAGAACCCTACAAATGTAGTAATCTCTTTTGATTTGACATTTTAGGGATCAAACAAATGTGTGGTATTAAAAAATATTGAATGCAAGTAAGGTTTTTTTATTTTAATATTTGTATTGTTCCTATATGGATGTAAAATAGTATGTGTATGAAGAGGAGGGGGTATAATATTTTAAAGCACGAATCTCCACGGAAATAATTACATTTCAAACTACTTCTCTGTGAATATTACAATCCTCTGAATAAAATAATCAAATTACAGAAAATTAAACAAAAAACAATAGCCTACTTCAGAAGAGGTAATTAAAATACATTTAAAGAATAGTGACATTGATGTACAAAGAATCTACTTGAAATAAATAAATAAATCTATTTCTATTAACAAAGAATATATAAATCTATTTCCATTCTATGAAATAAATCTATTTCCTGATTAAATAAATCTACTTGAAAATGCAACATAACACAATCAAAGTTTTTAAACTAGGATTTTGCATGTGACTACTTATAAGATGCTATTGTGAATTTCACATGATGATCGAAAGCAAATATTTAAGAACTGAATCTCTTAAGGTAAATTTATTACTACATGCTTAATTATTTTTTCTTCAAATAACACATCATGTGCAAAGTTATATTTTATTTTCACCCATTTACATTTTATTCTTATGCCTTACCAAAGCAGAAATCTTTGTTTTTCTAACAAATTTACAGTTTATGAATTTCCGTACAATGTGAGGATCACATTCAAGAAAACATTCGAATTTAACCATAAGGTTAAATATATTTTGTAGCTCAAGGAATATGAAACTTGACATTTAGTTAAAACTTGAAACAATCAACACAGCGCACAAGAGAGAATCATGTGCTGTGAGAGTTTTTATTTCTCATTCTGGTATAAGAGAAGCACAGCTGTAATAACAAAAGTCACGCGATAAGAGCGCTGTTAACCCGAGTGTTAGCCGGTAAACGCATAAACACGAGGATTCAACTTTACACAACATTTAACTGCGAAACAACACCGTCGCTACCATTTTGTTAAAGTTCCAATGGGTTTGTTTTTAAAAACTATGTAGGATCAGTTTGGAGACTTTAAATAGAGTTACTAACGTGAGTCATAGTCCACATTATTGTCGATAGGATTTTCTATACGTAGGAAAGTGTTACTTTTTATAGTAAGGCCAACAATAAATACATTAAAGTTATGTTTTATCCCGCTCGCTAATCAGCGTATTTCACAGTTGGTATTTCTACACCAACTTCAGCCACAGATCAGCTACGTTAATTAACAACCGGTAAGCAAATAACATAACCTTAAAAAAGCAAACATAACCTAAATGACGTTTTATACACAACTAAAAAGTTAATCTGTGAGTTATTTTAAGTTAATTATTATGGTGGAAAAATCTTGTGTCCATTACGAGCAAAAACAGTCATTGTCACTCTCGAAATGTATGACCACACTCAGCTAAAGCTCCGTGCGATCTACAGTTCTCGAGTGGCAATGACGTACTTTGCGCACTCAATAGACAAATAGTTATTATTGAGAACCATTTTTGACTAATATGAAACTACTCTATCATTGTCCACTCTCGGATGTGCCTCAGCAGCTTGAATGTTTTGGACTCTCCTAAATAACTTCTAGAAACTTAAGCCAACACCTACAAGCCTGTTGAACTTGTAGATCCTCTGATTAAAGCTTCCACAAAATTGTTTTGTACCTTAGTCAGCTTGCCAACGAAGTCAGCCTTTAATTTAGATTTGTGCAGGTAATGGTCTCATTCAGGAGACAACATTTTCTTCAGTGGGTTGCCCACAAAGAGACTAATTCAGTACAATCCCTTCTAAGGTAGTAGTCCCCCTATGATTAAAACGTACTACCTTATTGACAATTTGGGAATTGTCGAAAGGGTAGTACAAGGAATTATCTGTAGTACTGGGGTAAAATGGAAGATGTCCTTTGGCAGTTTCTTCTATTCAAATTACAAATTAAACCTCTTCGTAAAATTATTCACATAAAACTCAAACTCTAAAAATATACTTTCAGTACAGACATATGACCGAGCAATGAACAAGAGCAGCGTTCCGGATAAAATACAGCTTTGTAAAATGAGGAAAGGGGAGAATAATGTGTGATGCAACAGATACAGGGCTGTTAGGCGTTAAGGGGTGGGTAGGGGTGAAATTTACTCGGCTCCACAGTGTTATATGAGCACCTAGCAGCTAGAAGGGTCGCCTATAATATATAGTCCTCGCCCGACCGTCCTTAGTGGATTACAGAATTGTTGTTATCAGAATTCTGTATAAAAATCTTTCTTTTTTACGTTTATAAATTTGTAATACTCATTAGTTATTATGACACAAAGTTTCTCAAAATTAGGATAATTTTTAGTCATTTTGGGAGACGGTATTTTCTAAATATTACAGATAAAAAATCAAATTAAAGTATCGATTTTGGTAATAATACTATGTAATATGTAAAAGATAATTGGATTCGGTTGTTTTGTAAGTGTATTTTTTTTTAAAATAAACATTTTGTACGCCACGTGATACAAAAATCCATCATATCCGTCCATCATTCTTGTAACTTGAATGCAAATTCAATACAAAAAACCTTTCCGTGAATTTATAGAACGTGGTTACTACCTTAAATTTACCTTAAGTTCCTGCCTTATAAATAAATAAAAAACTACAACAACCAAAATTATTCACAGACTTATTTAACTTCGATAAGTTATTGGTCCTCTATCATTTTATATGTAACTAGCCGTACCCGCGGGCTTTGCCCCGCTTAACTTCATAAGTATTCGCATGGCTCAATCACGTCCTGGTTGAAGTTCGTTCGCTACGCTCACTCACCTTCAGGTTGGAAATCGTTCGCTGCGCTCACTTGTTTTCAGGTTAGCTCGTTTGCTACGCTTACTCGCCTCCAGGTTAATGTTCGTTCGCTACGCTCACTCACCTTTTGGTTGCAAATTAGCTGTTGTCATAAATTTAAAAAGTCATCCCTTTTATTGTTTATAATACAGTACTTTTATAAAGGTTTTTATGTTTCAATATTTAACATTGGAGAATTTAAACGTTGTTAAGTGCACAGGTGTGCTGCGATTGGGGTTTAATACATTTGGACTTATTCAAAAGTAAAATAGTTTTCTGTGCTGCACTCTGTAGAAACACTGTGGCACTATTTCAAATCATGACTAATGCTAATACAGAATGTTGTGATTATTCAAACCTACAAAACAGTTAGTGAAAGTAAACATCTGCTTTTAAATTATATTTATTTGTAAACAATGTAGATCAAAAAGTCTGACGTTGGCCCACTTAAAACCCTCTGGGACAGAGCCCTTTTGACGGATCTGCACCAAACTTCACTAGAACCATCTTTGCAAGATGCTTAATAATGCCTGAAAGTTTCATTACAATCTGTCGAGCGGTTTCGGAGTCCATAACGTATATACACACACACACACATACATACATACATACATAGTTCCTCTTTTATTAACCGACTTCCCCACTACCAACAAAAGGAGGAGGTTCTCAATTTGTTTGTGGCGATGTTTTTTTTTCTATGTATGTTCACCAATTTTTCTGTGATCCTTTTACCGATCAGTGTGGTTCCACCACCAAAATAACCAGGAGAGTTTCTATTTGGTACCTTATATATTATGTTTAAATATAATATTTGTTTCGGTGAAAAATTCTGAAAACCTTAAATATTCAACATTTGTTTGTTTACATTTGTGCAGATTGTTTACATTTGTGCAGAGAAGGCAATAAATAATAATAACATTCCTACAGCTGTTAGTTGAAACCATTTAAATGAAGCTACAGACAATTCTTCATGAAACAGTTGCTTCATATTGATCAATAAACTATTTCTTGCCATGGAGCCTAAATGAATTACATTGAGAAAAATGCATTTTGTTTTGGTTACTATAAAAATGTATTTTAACGTTTGACCTGATATGTGTATGCAGTAATTCTGTTTTTAGTATTGAATATTCTGACTTACAAAAAAATATATGTTTCAGTGAATAGCTGTATGATATTGACAAATAAAGGTGTATTGTGAAAACCAAAGCATTCTTAAAACAGGTCTAAATATAAATTAAATGCAATTATTCCTTACACGACCTAAGAAGTGTGACAGTGCATAATCGTCAATTGTCTTAAAAGTGTTAAATATTTTAATTACTAAACATGCATTTGCAGATGTGGAATGTTTATTGATATTCTCTACCCAGTTACTATAACATATCAATACTTATGCCTGCTTCGGAAAGTCCTAGAGGAAGATGATTTGCAATTTCGACTAAGCTATATCTTGATCAAACAAAACCATCTACATGGCTTGCACCACTTTTAGCTGAACCAATCTTTCATATAATATTTTCCAAAGGTACTATACGTGTTAACGACCAATTTTCCACTTTTGAGAGATTTTTTAGTGCTGGTGGCTGAGGAATAACTTTCATATTGTTCCAAAAGGCTTGAGACGTTACTGTATTTCTTTTTATAATGTAGAAGTACACCGATTGCAATTATCAATTATCAATTATCAATTATCAATCATTAAGATGGGGACGCCACTTAGGTGCGTATTTTAACCCAAATATGAGTGAAGGATGAGTGTAGAATGGTGTGAGATGATCTGTGTAGCTTTGTTACTGACTAAGATCAGCTGTTTCATTAGCCAGGATCATTTATTTAAAGCCCAATGATCAGGAACAGCTGGGTCCAGTTTCGAACCATCAAAAAGCTACGGACTTTTCTCAGGATCGAACCGGCGACCTTATGATTAGTAGGCGAGCACTATAACCACTCTGCTACCCAGCCAGTTAACGATGCAGGAAACGATGATGTCTGACATTTCAATCTAGAAAAGACAATTAGTTTTTCATTAGGCCTAATGTAATGGACAACTCTTTCTTTCTTAAGGAATATCTAAAAATGTTTATTTTCATACCCATTGATTATGTAACCTGAACAGGTGATTCAAGCAGTTTTAAAATAATGATTGTTCTGTGGAACTTTTGATTGTTTCAAAACAGTTTTGCTTATCATAAAACCTCAAGTAATTAA